CAGCAGAATTCTTGTCACTTTCGTGGAAGATCTTATATAAGAATTGAGTAAGATTCTTATAAGATGCTTGGAAGATTCTTATATCAGAACCGATCACTAGAGCAGTTAAAAACTAAAAGCAGAAAACAGCTATTGCGAGCGAATTTATATAAATCGCGAGTCGAGGGAGAGTCGCGCTTTTTTAATCAGAGCAAGCGAGAATCGCGCCGCGATAGCAGGACTCGTACCGCGAGAAAGGAAAATCGCGATTGATTAACTGATAAAAAACGCGAGTTGCGTAGCGATTATAGCGAATGTATAGAAAAACTCGCGTTTCATCGCGACTTTATAACGATCGCGAAATTAGCGAGAAATTTCCCGAGTCTATAAGCGATCGCGTTACGCGTTCGCTCCGCGACTTTTTATCGCGACTTCATCGTGATAGTCGACATGGGTAGACTACAATTCAAACGATTTTGACGAAGACTTTAGTAATGAAATTCCTGCTTCTTTTACTAATTTGAAGTATTTAGGCGAAGTTATTCCAGAGTGAGTGTTTATCACAGTACATGTTTAGAACTAGAACGCAAGTAAGATACCAGCAACCTGTCTGTCTATCCATTCTTGTTTGTTTTAATGTTTAAGCGGTTTTCCCTTAGCAAACACTTTTAATATCAAACATTCAGTTAAAACATAGAAGGAGAATTTCTTTTTTCTATTTTATCTCTCTCTTTGTGTCTTTCTGCTAGACAATAGTGACAGAGAAAGTGAACATCAAAAACTTTCTCACAATACAAATCTCTCAAATACTACTATATCTCTGGCGTAAAATCAAATTTTTCAACGAGAAATTCGAAGCTCACTTTTTTACTTTTCGCTTTATTTAGATGCATAATAATCTGAATTTAATGAGACATAAAAAGACTACCACTTCAATTACGAGTATGGCTCGTAAGATAACGATGGATCTATTTAAAAAACACGAAGTAATCGATCAATTACCTACTCACAGTGGAGATGATAGACTGAAAATATTAAAAAGTAAGTGCATTTTGAAAAAATGTCTGTCACACAAGCGCTCTTTTTTGGCGACGAGAAGGTGTATGTACAAATAGGTCAATTAAGAACTTCAGAAATCACATTTTGTTCAGGTAACAACGTAAAAACGCTAAAAAGAACACTTGTTTACTTTGGAATGGACGATAGAGAAATAGCTTTGAGTTTTTGATGAAGAAAGATATTGTAGAACAACTTTTTCCATTTTTAGGTAAGATTCATTTGAATCTCCTGTTGCCACATGAACGTTTCTATCATTTACAGTCTGAAGATACGTACACTTCTGCTAAAGCATAAGTTTAATCGTTGAACTGAAGCAGACTACGAGACAAATAGACATCACCATTTTTGGTGAAATATGAGAGAGCCTTTTTCCTTTTGCTAACGTGTTTATTTTTTGCCATATTTCTTTTTAGGTGCACTAAAAGCTGCATATGATTTGGATGATGATAATCTGGATTTAAAATGGAGTTCAGTTCATAATTCATTAGTACAATTACGTCGTGATATTAAATTTGGCAGCTGTAAGAAATCAGATGATAACAACGATAACAATCCTCAGAATAAGTCAGCCAACGACGAAGAACAACCAGCACACAACAATACATTAGACATGGAAGATGAAGAAGAAGAGCAGCTGAGTTCAAATCTTCAAGGTCAACAACAGCAGTCAGCAGAAGAACATGATGAAGTTAGTAAGAGTAGTACGGATGAAGACATTAAAAGACACTGAATTTACTTTTTTGAACTTATCCCTTTTTTGTTAGGGTCAGAGAGATCGCCACACTTAGAGTGAGGGAAACTTGAAAAAAATTACGCTTATGTTGCGAGACGGATTTTCGATCAGAGAAAAAACAAGAAGCAGTGGCGTAGTCTAAGAAGTCATTCTGGCCTAAATGCTACTTACATGCTTTTGCGATGTGTTAGCATTGTTTTATAGATTTTTGACTATTCTGTACAACTTGAGCACATCAGAATGCTGAAATGCCTTGGTTAATTTTAAAGGCTTATATAACTTTTGATTGATTCTGTCTATAAGACACAGAAAAAGACGGAGTTAAAATATAGTCAAGGAGTGGGCGCAACTCAAAAGTTATTAGTGCTCTGAAAGTCCATGAACTCTTCTCTCTAGCAGATCTCACTTCAAAGTCTAAAACTGCAGTATAGCAGAATTTTCTATAGTGAATCATTTGAATAGCATTTTGAATTTTAAAACTTAACTCTAAATCTAGTATGAAAATTAACCTAATCGTCATTCTTTCACTATAAATATTCAGTTCAAAGGGATATAGTGAAAAAAAATATCCACATATAACTGTCACAGACGAACTAGAAAAGTGATTGGGCTATTTTTCAGCAAAAGTACGAGCAACATCAGAGACTTTTTTACCCATTTTGACAATACTCGAATTCTGCATTCATAGTGAAAGAACGGCGATTGTGTTAATTTTCATACTTGATTTAGAGTTAAGTTTTAAAATTCAAAATGCTATTCAAATGATTCACTATAGAAAACTCTACTATACTGCAGTTTTAGACTTTGAAGTGAGATCTGCTAGAGA